GAGAGATATATATATATATATATATATATATATATATATATAGGTATCTCGGTGAACGGGAATAACCTATGATTGTAACGATGCTCCGGTGACTCAACCAATAGCTCTAGAGTGCAATCACGGCAATGAGTTTGCGTATGTGACAGAAAAAGAGCAAACATACATCCATTTTCACCCCTAGTTATGGTCATAAGATGGACATGTCGTTAGCCACTTAAAGTTGAGAGGTATAATGTATTCAGTCGCCTTACTCTTACTGTCAGCACATATAACTGATGCATTACATATGACAACATAGCATTATATGGTGGATGACATACTGCGTATATTATATTACATAGTGTTGTATGACTGTAGGGGAGGGAACCTCCACCATTATAAGTAATTCCGTGAAACAATATGGGAAGGTGTTGGTTAATAGCCTGCATAAATGATTTTGACGGTCACATGTCAACATAAACAAGAACACCGGACAGGACTGCAGATGACCCTATGTGCATGTTCACTACCACACTAGTACGGTCTAAATAAGGAGCTTCAGACACAAGACGTTCGCGAACGTTAATGTATCTACTGAATAACAGTATCGTTAGCATATATTCATTGAAGAGAACGCCATTACCACAGATGATAACAGCTGTAACTAACTAGTGGCAACAAACCCAAACTTCAAGCTTCGTAGTCCAGAGGATTCGATAAATCACTCCGTATCTGTTCCAATATGAAGCTGTGTTTCTCGTAAGACAAGAAGATTCCACGGTTATCATTTATAGCAGTTGCCAAGAGTCCATGCTTCCTCTTATCAGGCTGGACAGACCGGTGAAGGGGATACCATCTCGGAACCTCGACTGATGAAATCGTTTCATATCATGCGAACACGACATTGGGCCTTATAGAAAATAGCACTGATAATTCAGGTTCGTTGAGACGAAACCATCAACCTCAGCAGATAGTTTATCTGGTAACACACTAATAGATGACTGCGTGGCTCAATACGCAAACTTACAAAGAATTGGAAAAAGGTATGAAAATAACTGTGTACTTTAATGGCGTCTAAGATAACGGGGTCTGCAAAACTGTTTTCGTCCGACGAAATACGCTCAGTGGAACAGTAGGTTGGCGTTAGTACGAGACCAAACTGAATCTCTTATTAACAGGGTTCTTCAACTAAATGTGTGTACCAAGACCAGGCCATGGCGGTTCCTTTTAAAACGCAGAGGACTCTGTTTCAAATGTGATTGAAATCTTCATTAAAATCTTGATCACAAAGTTGGAACTTTAGAGTAAAAACTTGTGTCGCACATATTTGTCGGGTCACAGAAATCTTAAAAGTTAAAACATACCCTGGGAATGGTCAAAACTTCATCGTTAGGAAGCCCAAACTCCTTGGTGTTTTCAAGTTGATTGTATAAAAGAGTGCGTTGCACTTAATCCTGATCAACATCAGAAGGATTCCAGACAAATGGTACAAACTGCCAAATTTGATTGGCACGATCACCTACCTAAATCGTCAAAAACAAGGAAATACACCGTTTTGGGTTGAAGGAACAATAAGTTCATTAGAATTGATACCCAACCAAGTGATAGCCTGTGCCACAATCACCGGATGGCAACTAACTACTGGAACTGGAATAACCGGATCCATGTTCATTTCATTATTGTTAGCTAGTTAATGACTGATCCATTTTTGGTCTGCCGACATGTAGACATCGCATGCCATATCCTATTTTGCTGTTAGGTGATCTGCTCAAGAACGATCACCCAGTTCTAGTCGGTGGAGCCTTGGGCGATAGCTTCACGCCCAGAGCGGGAACGGAACCCTCGAAAGCTCCGAATAAGGCGTGGCTAGTGCCCTCTTTGTGCTAGCCAGTCAAAAGAGTCGGCTTGCCACCCGTCTGGTAAACAGAGCGATGATCTGGAGTTAATGAAGTTAGGCATCTTTCTGCACACTCGGGCGCCGTACCATGGGAACACAATAGACTGTGTTCAAAATTTTAACAACAAAACTGACGTTTCAGTTCCCACAAGCATGTTCCGTGCATTTGACGGGCTACACAGCTGTCCTGTGCCACGGTGATGGGCTAAAAAATTGGGAAGTCGGTTGAGTTTATCTCTTGTTGCTCAACCAACCCAACCAAATCCGCATCCAATATGTCTCCCAGTTGGTAACTAAACATTCGTAAGTCAGATACCTAGCTAAGTCAACAGACCAACTGTCATGTGTCCATCACTGTGCTTCTTAGGATTGGGTTCAGGCCTTTCAAAAGGGCATAGCAATTTTCCGTCGCTGTTATTAATTGTATGAAGAGATAAAATCTGGTTTCCAGACTTGATTGCCCTTTTTCCCTTAATTTGCAACCAATCTGCTATTTCGGTTTAGTCCAAACAGCTACAATCATCCGTGCTAACCCAAATGGAAGCTTTGATGAAGGAAAATGCTAGAGATCGCGAACTATTGATGCAGGAACACGAAGAAAAGCAGAAAAATTTACAGGACCAGGTGATTGCTGCTGAAAGAACATTGGAGGAGCAGATCAAGCTGACAGATAAACTACAAATGGAACTGAAATCAAAGGTTAGTCGAAACCTTGCACACTTGAACGATAGAGTATTGAAGACATTGCGCATGTACGAAATCCTTTTTTCTAATTCACCTGTTCGGTATAATTCCAAGTATCAATCCAGCTGAATTAAAGTAAATCAAGTACGAAAGCCATAAATCTGACGACAAGTCAACAATATTCAGAAACGCACGTGTCTCCAGAATTACGTAGCAATTCTAACTAACGGGCGACACGCTGCACAAGGTATCATATTATAGGTTTGAAATATCTGACAACTGGTTAAACTTCTCCAACAGAGTGATGTGTTTCAAACCTGATAAGTTGAGTTGAGTTTATTCTAACTAGACGTCCTTGTTCTCAGTCCTTAGTTATAAATTCCTCGATGGGATCATTTGTTATCACGTGGTAGGTGATTGTCACAAAATATTCATGCATCACTTAGTGAAGTTGGTAGAGGATTCTCCGGATGCTGGTAGAGTGGGGGAAAGATAACTCTATCTTTCAAATCGAGATGGGCTCAAAATATTTTGTCTGCCACCGTACTTGCAAGGTCCACTTTTTGAATGGAAATTAAAGATTACGTTATCGAATATGGTGACGGAGACAAAAACTTCAGACCAACCGAACTTAAGACGGAAGTTTATAGTCTATTGTTGCGATAATTATATACTAAACTGAGTGGCCGGGACGGTACCCATTTCAGATTACTGCTTAGAAGAAATTCGAAGAAAAGTAAAGAAAGACAGAATCAAGCCAGATATTACAAATTTTTTATGGTATCACTCGGGGAAATATTCATACCGCTGGGTTGGTTTTATATTTACGGAGTTCAGCCTGGATAACAAACGAAACTCGAGATCGAGTTGGGCGCAAATTTAGGAATGAGACACCACAATACGACAATAAACTCTCTAGGTTTAGGAATCTCAAACTTCCACAAGTTTCCAATAACTGTCCGGACGTGCGCAGAAGTAGCACGCGTAATCCGAAATGACTACTTAACCCGGAGAACCCGCGAGCGCCATAATCATGGCACTGCGACTTCAGGGTATAAAGATTAGCTCAGCGAAGACTTTTATAGGAATGACCACCAACGTGCGTTTGTGGGGTAGTGGTTACACGCTCGCCTCGCATGTCAGATGTCCGGGGTTCAAATCCCGGTACGGCCATTGGATATACACTGCTGATGAGCTATAATAAGAGGAAAGCTCGAGTGCGGTGCTTCCCTTTGGTGTGAGGAACAAAAACCTATCCCGCAGAACCCCAAAAACTGCTTATGGTTTAACTGTGTGAAGACATGACCTGGTATTTTCCAAAGCTACGTCCATCTGCTTGGCATTCCCTGCATACTTGAAACTTCTGGCTGATAGCATTATTCGTGTGGTATTCGCTATTTGCTTCACAAAGGTGGTTGGTGTCAACGCACAATCAGCTGTTCACAGTTCATGACGCTTCTCTACATCCTCGTAAATGGGTCTTCTGTCGTTAGCAAAGACGTTCCCCATACTAATATCCCTACTTTGCTATGGTCTTCGGCGCCAGCGCATTTGGTCTTTAGCTGCAATTAAATCTAAAATTGTTTGATTTTCTAAGATGAACACTACTACATGGCAGTTAGCCGTGAAAATTTCTAGGAATGAACATACTAGTCTACTTACTTTACCTTAAAACAACACCTTTTGAAATAGATCGAGGTAGCTTAGTGGTTAAGGCGAAAACCAACTGACCGGAAGGTCCGTGGTTCGAATACACTCTCTGCATCTCGGGTGCTCCCGTCTGGGCTCGAGCAAACTAGCATTGTCTGAGTCATCGTGCTTTCTTCGGGTGGCATGACAGCTAAGCACCAAAAGGGTGCTAAGGTTGAACGATCATTATTTCAACATTGTCGTCCACTGATATAGCAATAGTTGGTTAGGTGAACTAAACACTTCCCATCAGTGTAGTGTAGCCATCTCTACCCGGTTTTTGAATTTTGTGTTAATTTGCTCCAAAGTCCGATTAAAACGTAATTTTGAGGACGGCTGAATATAATCACTGTTCACGTAGTTCAACCTGATTGACGAGCAAAATTAAGGATCGAAGTCGTTTGTACTCTCAACAAATTTGGCGAAAATTTAAGAAGATCAATGCGTGAATAAAATTTACATTGTGAAGGATTGGAGTCAAAGGCACTGGCAAGTGTGAAATTCGCATATCAAATATGACGGAAACACCTGAACCGGAGATACCATTATTGTGGTGAATATGAGACCACCCACGGCTAACTGACCACTAGATTTTACCTAAGCAGAGTAGCATGAAACCACAATGACAGTGAGCATTCTTACCAGCAAAAGCAACAACAACAGCAACAAGCACCTACAATACAGTTTGATAGAATAGAAATTCGGGAGGAAGAATCCACACACACATTGATGTTGAGTTGCTCTACTGTTCTTTAGGAAGTGATTCGATCGGTGTTAAAGAAAGTTCGCATAGGAATCTCAGGATACCTTGATGTGATGCCCAGCTAGTGGCGCAAAGGCCTAAGTTATAAATTCCCGGTTCGTCTTCGGGCCGTTGTTGGACTATCCACAAACAGTTGCGGATCTGAAATCTCCGTGAAATTTCCCGCCCTGGGATTCATCAGTTGGCCACCTGTGGATAGAACTACTTCACCTATTGAACAGACTTTCAAGACGTCAGGATATAAATGCAAACGGGAATTGGAATACCTTAACAAATAGTTGAGATCAAATATTTTGCCCAATCTCCAGTTAGGCCACTGTTCTGTTTTCTTGACCTTATTTCAGAATGAGCAATATGCGGAACTAGAGAAGCAATGTTCTGACTTACAAAGTTCATTCGAAGCTGCAAAGAAACAGCGACACGAAGTGGAGTTGAAGTTGAAAGAGCAAGTCGCAGCGGCGGAGGAATTGAGTCGCACACTCAAGAAGTATGATGCCAATACGGACTTATCAGTCTCATACATTTCAATGGCTTTGTTCTTTTCCAGGTTCTCTGATTAAGCTCAATAGTGTAGTAATAGGCTAGCATCTTTCTTCCCGCTGTGTTCCTCGTTTAACGATGAGTATTTATCCGAGTGATTTGTCTAAATTACATAGCACTTTAGCGCTGGTGCTTCATTGATGCTTTTATACTTTTCTAGGCCACTTTGATCCACAGATAACCATCACATAAGGAACTGAAAGTTGGTTCATTGCGAACGTGCTGCTGACTGTTCACTGGGGATGTTAGATGAAACCGAGCTAAGTTTGCACCACAGAACAGTCAAAGGATGAGACATTACAACATTACTGTTCGCTGTTTCCGTTCAAGTGCCTAGTTCCGGAAAAAGACTCGCCGATCAGGAACACAACCGCTTTATTGAAAAACAAGCGAGTGTGAGAGCGTGTGTGAAATACACGGTTTCAAGCTATTTTATTGGAAGGACGCTGTCTCGCACTGTCTGGCTTTGATACAAATCTGTCCCGCCCCACATACTCAGGGGGCGTTGTCTCTCTGGCCAACGTCCAGTGGAGTTGAGGGTCTCATTAAATTTCGGGCATTCAGTGGTTACTTTCGAGAATCTGACCTTACTGATAATTACAAATGTGGCTAGCTGGAAACCGGTCCGTATAAGGTTATGTGTGCTGTGGTTAGACCGATGGTCATGCACGTGTTAACCCCTATGCATGTTTGACACTTGGTCATCAGTCTAAACTTTCGTGTCATGTGTGGCCTCTCTTGCTTGGATTGCCTTTGCAGACCGAACCACAAAGCAAATAATTCGATGCGATCAGACCTTTTAGCGCACGGAAAGTTCATGTAACTAGTCATGACTTCAATGCTTCGATGAGATAGATTACGACAGAGGACTACGCTTTAGATCGTTGCGTTTATTCTTCAACCCACGTACAACTTTTACAAATATCTGGTGGCAATACTGAAGCCACTTTAGCGCAATGTGGTGAGCCAGATTACCGATTGGCGGAATTCTGTCCATACAGCAAATCAATTAAATTTCGGTAGCGATGAGGCGTTTTATCAATTTTACTGTTGTTTCTCTTCACACTTTTGTCCCTTGCCGCAATAGGTTACAATAGATGCGACAACTTCTACAAAAGGACACTAGGTTGAATAGCCTCAAGTCTCTCTAGGTGTACATTATTACACAAGGCTTAGAGTCATGATTACGATCTCCTTCATTCCAGTTCAAAGGCCTGATTTATCAACAGACTGATGGAACTATCATTAACTCCTCTGTTCTCTCTGGCTTAACCAACAAAACCATAGCACAATGAATCCTCGGCCACACAACAAGACCAACAATCCCCTGATGGTTTGACAGAGACAAGTTAATGACAGATTTGTTATCATAAAGAGGTGTTGTGGGAATAATTTCTTTGCATATCCCAAAACTCCAGGCAGCTCCATCCACTTCTCAGCTGAACAGGGAAAGCCCAGTGGAAGGACTGCAATTTCCTATTATAAGGTATCTTTGAATCATGTTTACTTTGAGAGCACGGTCTACAAACCACCCAGATCAGACTGCTGTTTGGACTACTATTCAATGGCTATGAAGAAACCGGTAATTCGCACACTGGCCCATCAGACGATCCGCGATGACACAGCTTCGTCTAAAAGCTAGATTGGCCACGGTAATCGAACAACGGGAAAAAATGGATATTCATTAGGTTTCATTGATCAAACGCTTCAGTCACCCAACCCAAAAGAACGCATCCAACCAAGGGTTGAACCAAATGACAGGGTGAGGATCTTGTGCCACCAGCACATAAGAAAGCAGTCGTTGCGTTCTCTACAAACTCAACATATGAACCATTCTTCAAATAGACGCTGAACAGGCGACCGGTCCACGCGAGAGACCCGATCTATCCTGATTTCCAATCATGTCCACAAGGCGGAAAACGGCGATCACGATCGTGTTTATAGTGGACAAACCAGCTAAGGGCTGAAGTATCGAATCAACGGATGCGAACGGCATTCTCTGGCTTCCCCGAGAAACACGAGGGAATTAAAAATCTGGAGCGTAACCAAGTCATCGTACCTCATGCAGTAGCTGAGACTCATAGGGTCACATTTGATAACATTCCTACCCTGAGACAAAATTCCGACGTTGTTTCTGATGAATCGAATGATACCGTGCGTTAACCGGCCTGATTTGTTTAGGATGGACGTAACGTTTATAAGAGGCGTTTCGTGTCCTAACTCCTCGGTGACCTCCGACAACCCTCGTCAGGTGGGAGGTGACAAAAATCAAATAGAAAAGAAAACACTTACCAGTTGGTACCAACACTGGGACAACCAACATTCTATGTGATAATGTGACCAGTCATCCCAATGCAGTTCCGCAGAATACCAAACGCTCTTAAATTTGGGACGAGATACGACAGGTCAGATACCACAAGCGGATAAGGACAGTTTAACATGAGTGGTATCGTGAACTTATGCGTTGGACTGGTAATGTGGCCCACAATTGGTTGTGTCGGAATTCCTTCCTTGTCTACTTTTGGAGGGCCGTGAAATTGCGATTGCCTGTTATTTTTGGATTCACTGGAAACCACACAGACCAACTGAAATTCTTCTCAACTATGCAAAGGTATAGATTGATTTGTGACTTGAATTTGTCGCGTGCCGCTATTGTGTACTCCACTGATGACTTCCATCCATTTAGATGCTCAGGAACTTTTTTTCCACATTCAACTTTGTTCAATATCACTAGTACATTACCTCTATACGATCTTGATATGTGAGTCATTGAATCTCATCTCAAAGATGAGAGTACCCAACTTTCTGTGCAGCTAATGCTACAATGATTAACCAGAGCAGTGAAAAGAATGTTGATTGCTTCAATGCTGGCACCAACTTGCACGTGTTGTTTATCATTCCACTCCTAAGGAAAATTGCCCAAATTGAACGAAATGTTGAACAATAAGATTGCAGTAAAAAAAGCTGCGCTCTTCCTGGCATAGAATGGATAGAAAGCATACGACTCTCACACTAGGTGACTGCACTCGAACTGAATTCTGCACAAATTGTCCAAGTTCTGATAGTGCTGAGTTATTTGCCATCTGATCCGGCCTAATTCACCATACAAAGGCGACCCGGGTGCTATAGGCCCAAGTGATATAACAATTCAGTCATAAGGAAATGCGGACAGCGTAGCACACTAAAAATCACCAGGATATACATGAAATTATCCCTAGTCACATGGCATATAACAGTGTGCTGTCCAGTGTTAAGCTAACAGCATTGGTAAGGTTTAGTGTTTTATTTTCATTAATGGAGGCCGGGAATCCACATGCCCCGCATTCGCAATATCAATTTAAAGATTTTTTTGAAAAAGCCCAGAGATGTGATGAGTTAACGTGGGAATTTTCCTGTTCAGATTCCTAATATGCATTGATCAGTTTGGAGGCTTACAAAGAATGATGATACCCAGAAAAGCCTTGTACATTTTTGTAACCAGACAAGGCTTAATCACAACTCGGAAGCAAAGTCAAAATAGCAATGGATGGATATACGTATCTTTAGCAGCCTCAACTGGATTTTTGCCTAGAAGCTTGAAATCGATCACCTGTTATATATAAAATTATGATCCGAGCACTTCGGTTAAGCAGTTAAGCCTTTTGGATAAGCTAGGTTGTTCCTAGTGCGATGAAAATACGGGCAGAAATTAAGTGGTCAGAGGTTCGTTGTATGTCCCTGTCAATAAGAAATTACGTTGGTTTGGTGTACACGTCACTCGACTTAACCTTATAATTTATTTTTTTTCTCTAATGTCAAATATCCTGTTCAGCAGTCAAGCACCTTGGATATATCATGTTCTCTAGACCCCCCCAAAAGTGGTCAATATGACAGCCAGTAAGTTTATGCAGCGGTGATGAGTACACCACAGTCATTTCAAAACGGACCAAAATTATCCTTTTTTGTCCGCGACCACCGAACAAAAACACCAGTATGTGTCCAGCAAGACCTTATAATTATGTACCTTCCGAAGTGAATACACTCTCGGAGTTATCTTGTGACCTTCATGATATGAGGGAATATCACATCTGTTACAGCACGCGGCATGAATTTTGTAATGTTTTCATTGACCGACCACCCGCATTATTCCCCTTTATGCTTCCATAAATTGAGGAAATTGTTGTGATTAAACTATTGTATGATCATAGTCCTTATATGTGCACAATGACCATCTTCTCATTGTTATTCAAACGCAATGCAGAAGTCATGTTGTAAGCATGGTAGGAAGTAAACTAACCAATGCTGATCAAGGTTATAGTGCCAACAACAAGGTTTCCACACCTTCAGTTGGTACAAAAGGGGCAAATTGTTAGTTAATACAGTTTAGATAATCGTTTCTCATTAAAAAAAACACGTGAGCTTGACGAGAAATAAATCAAAGAAATCCATAATGTGCGTTTTCTTGAAGATGTCCCGATAGCGTCATTGTCCGCATTGAATTAGAATGACCTATTCATCCGTTATGAATATATACAAACTACACAAAACTAAATAAAATTGAAAGCATTACATCACGCTTTCCAGTGTTCTCCTTGATTCTTGACTAGCCTCCAAGATACTAACCGAAGCCACGAGATATGTATGGCGGAGCATGACAAAGAGCTACACCAGATTCGGACGCAAAATGCCAATGAAGTGATTCAGTTGAAACTGGAACACGCTGAAACGATTAGCCGGTTAAGTACGGCCATTGAGCGATTGAAAACTGAAGTGAGTTGAACGAAGATAAATCTGTTAATCCTTTAAACCTTAAAGTGTTTGTTCTTCCAATAAAAAAGCATAGACTTCACGCATCTCTAGGCTATCAAGGTGACGAAGCGTTTGGGTGCTATCAATGCTACTCACTTTTTAGGATGGGAACTACGTGATCCCCACTGTGCCTGGTTGGGGACGTTGCAAGATATGGCTGCCAACCAATATCAGTGGCGATCTTGTTGTCAGTCTCTATCCAAATTGCCTGAATGAGTGTTTGGAGGCGTAGGCACCAAGGAATGATTGTGGTATGCTAGCACCAAGTCCATTCCACGTCCACTTTTATTCTTTTCTTCAAAATATGGCTTTCAAATAAGCCATGGTTGCGCAGAAGTGAAGCATTGGTGCTGAACCCTGATGTCATGCTGTCGATGATGATGATAATGATGACTGTATAAGGGCTGCTAGCCACCTTGAAGTTCTAACTACAAGAATAGGGAGTCGACTGTCTCCAAATGAGTTACGTTACTTAATTCGGGTGTTTCCTTCTTTTGTTTATTATTCAGTTTGAAGACCAATTACGAGCAAAAGAAAACAGAGCTTCGGCCAAGGAACAGGATCAACTGAATTCAGAGATCAGCGACATGCGACTTCGACTGGAGAATACCGAAGAAAGTCGCCATGAGATAGAGGTGCGACATATGAGAATCTGTCCTTAATCTGCTGACTGACCTTTACCAACTTAATTATACATGCTTTCTAATTGACAGCTGAATAACAGAAGGCTTTCCAGGCTCCTCCGTAGTGAAAAGATACTTGACGGGGAGAAGCGAATCTGCGTCCGTTTTTAAACATTGCATTTCCTTAGCAATCGTAAGATGCAAATCACGGGCGTCTAAAATTCATGGTGACGTACCTCCGATGTCCTAACAGGCAGGGCAGTCCATCAAAACAACTAGGATATTTACTGGGATGTCTTTGAATTCACCGGGAACAAGTGGAAATACGTTCGATCCGGAAGGAACAATTATGGCGCATCCAGCGTGCATGGGTGGAGTACCAGTTCACCTCAAATGTCAGACGTCTAGGTTGAAGCTGCCAGTAGGGTCGAGGATATGCACCAACTTCTCAGGCCCAACTGAACTTTCGAATCTACCTAGGTAGACTTATGGAACGTTTACATCACACGAAAGTACTTCCATACCTTAGGGTGATAGTTGCCTAGTCGTGTGCTTCCGTCTGAAGCACAAATGAATAAACCCTAAATGAGTGACAACAACAATCGGCGTTACTGCGCAGGACCAATAGAACAGGACATACTGGACCTTTTCGAATTTCCTTCCCGTTGTCCCAAACCAGTGGTTTTAGAAGTCGAAAAAGTACTTTAACAGCACGTGCCGTTTTCCACAGTTTATGTTGCCCGAAGGTTTAGGTCAGAGGACCCAAAAGCGCATGTTGACCGTTCAGAACACTAGCCACGTTTGCAGTCTGCAGGGCTTCAGTCAGTGGCGTGTGACATAACATAATTAAGTCTTTAAATGTAAAACGGAGATCATAAAAATATTGGAAGTATGCATCACACAATGCTATTTGGGCCTGGAATTATTTACTTAAACGACTACAAACTGCTCTCTACATCCTGGCATTCCGGATGTTTAGGGTAACAAAAAGGTGTGGTGGGTGGGATATAAGTTTCGAAAGTTCCAAAAATGATATTAAACTGTCTACTCCCTATCATTTTTCAGAGAACACATCAAGTAGAGACTGAACAACTACGCCAAAAATATGAGGAGGCCCTAAATCAGTGGAATCAGAAAGAGCAAACCTTGCTTAACGATAATAGGCTTTTGAAAGAAAAGCTAGCGTCATTTGGAGCGAAAGTATGTCCGATTCGCCTTGATGCCCAAATGCAAACAACACCCAGTACCGATGATGAGATACTGCTTCAGAAGATCGGCGAAACCTTTACGAAACAAATGAACAGCTGGCGTGAAGACTCGTTGTCGCACTGGGTAGAGAAAGTGAAGGAAGAAGAACAGCAGCGACTGCGAACTTTCTATGAAGAAGCAGAAGCTGTTCAGAAGAAGGAGCACGAAATAAATCTGTCCACGGTGAGTAGGAAAAACTTAAAGGCGCTCTCCGTTATTTCCACTTGAAATACTGGTTGCCCGACACACAAAGCTACACGTCGCAGTTACTAACGGTTGTTGTTGTTCGTTTGTTTGCTTAATTTATCACTTTGCTTGTGATGATTTCGCAACCAGCTGAGGTGATATCATGGGTGGGTTAAGGCTGGTGGTAAAACATTTGTAACAGTATTTTCAGTTTATGGACTCCTATTTCGACGACCCCTGTTCGGTTGTTTGCAGCCGCTTTCAAACTGGCTAATAGTTCCCGCCCTGGTAACTAGCCCACATGTTCCACTAATACATTTATCTGCATATTAATTCGGTTTTCATGAGGGACTCATATGGAATCCAGCTTAATCTCTCGTTTATCATGTTCCAGTTGAGTCTCCTGTGAAAACCAAATTAGTAAGCAAGGGTGTGTTAATAGAATTTTGCGCATTTTGGGTTCAAGCAAAACATGAGGTTGACAGGAACTTGAGAACTATGTTTATCTAATGTTCCCCAAGAAGGGTGAAACCGGTCGCGGGCTTCCGAAGATTTTTCGGCAACCTTATGAGTAGTGTATTAGTCCCCATGTTGTTTGGGAAGAAGAATGCAAAAGCGATACGGACTAATACTTTCTCGGCCTAATACGTCATGCATACATACATCGTCTGTGTAAAACTGAAGGGAATTCAAACCGATTAACTGTGGATTGATTTACATTCTGCCCTCAAGGTAATCACGCTACTGAAACACATAACCCCTCCCATGACTGATTACCATGTAAACGTAGGGTATTCTGCCTCTCTTACGTAGGATTGCACACTGGTCTTGCCTGATCAGTCCGTTGATGTGGACTTCCCATGGTAGTGAACTCTGGTCAGAGAGGTCTCTTCCCAGAGAATCGGGGTCACATGAGAGGTGAATTCCAAGCTATTGCCTTCCTTCCCAATCTCCCTACTTAAAAGTTCCTTGACAACCCTGTATTTGCGCATCAATTTTGTTAGCTCCCACCTACAATGCGCAGCTACCTATCCCACCTCCCCAAATCATCAGCTGTTAATACTGTGCGACAAGCACGTGGTTTATACTGCTGGCGATCATGATGAGGATGATGATTTTGATGATGGGTCAATTCCCCCTCAATGCACTATCAGGGGTGAACACTACAACAAACCTATATCTAGGCACCTAATCCGCAATTACCAGCCTTGCATAACAGTACCTGTCTGTATAATCTATGCTATCTTTTGGCATAACTCCACATACTAGTCACATCTCTTTTTCCAGCTCAGAGCCGAACACACGAACCGCTATAACCAACTCAAAAAGCGTGAGGAATTACTCAGAACACAGTGCACTCGATTAGAAACGGAGCTGGGCGAATGCAAGAAGTTGTTACAACACGAGGTGGAAACACGTCATCAACAGTTAAAATTAGTAAGCAAGGGTGTGTTAATAGAATTTTGCGCATTTTGGGTTCAAGCAAAACATGAGGTTGACAGGAACTTGAGAACTATGTTTATCTAATGTTCCCCAAGAAGGGTGAAACCGGTCGCGGGCTTCCGAAGATTTTTCGGCAACCTTATGAGTAGTGTATTAGTCCCCATGTTGTTTGGGAAGAAGAATGCAAAAGCGATACGGACTAATACTTTCTCGGCCTAATACGTCATGCATACATACATCGTCTGTGTAAAACTGAAGGGAATTCAAACCGATTAACTGTGGATTGATTTACATTCTGCCCTCAAGGTAATCACGCTACTGAAACACATAACCCCTCCCATGACTGATTACCATGTAAACGTAGGGTATTCTGCCTCTCTTACGTAGGATTGCACACTGGTCTTGCCTGATCAGTCCGTTGATGTGGACTTCCCATGGTAGTGAACTCTGGTCAGAGAGGTCTCTTCCCAGAGAATCGGGGTCACATGAGAGGTGAATTCCAAGCTATTGCCTTCCTTCCCAATCTCCCTACTTAAAAGTTCCTTGACAACCCTGTATTTGCGCATCAATTTTGTTAGCTCCCACCTACAATGCGCAGCTACCTATCCCACCTCCCCAAATCATCAGCTGTTAATACTGTGCGACAAGCACGTGGTTTATACTGCTGGCGATCATGATGAGGATGATGATTTTGATGATGGGTCAATTCCCCCTCAATGCACTATCAGGGGTGAACACTACAACAAACCTATATCTAGGCACCTAATCCGCAATTACCAGCCTTGCATAACAGTACCTGTCTGTATAATCTATGCTATCTTTTGGCATAACTCCACATACTAGTCACATCTCTTTTTCCAGCTCAGAGCCGAACACACGAACCGCTATAACCAACTCAAAAAGCGTGAGGAATTACTCAGAACACAGTGCACTCGATTAGAAACGGAGCTGGGCGAATGCAAGAAGTTGTTACAACACGAGGTGGAAACACGTCATCAACAGTTAAACGAGCTCAGTGTGGCACGTGAGAATGAGCGACAAGAATGGTCAAGAATGCAAGCTGAAAAAATAGCTATTTTGCAGGAACAGTGTGAAAACAGAATAAAACAAATACGCATGGAGCAGATGGAGGATTTTCAAACCAAGGTGAGTTCCTTGGAATTTATTTTCATGGACTAAGAGTAGATGCTGGTGTTCTGACGACCAAATATGAGAACCAAAATGGCTCTGAAACATTTGGCAGCACTACTAAAATTGTGTAAGGGAATGCTAGATATTTTTTTGTCCAGTCAAGGAGGAAAAGTAAACAGGCTACCAAACTTATAAGCTATTCTCAATACAAACGGTAAATTTCAAAGTACGCTTGGTTTGTCCAAGGTCCTAAAATATATTATCCCAATTAGTTCCTGACATACTGTATCGCAGCCGAACTCATCTCGTTTTTTCTCTGAAAAATCACCCTACACTGTAGGAACTGCGCTTATTATGCAGTGCAAGGCTTGGTGAGTGAGACGGATGATTTATGCGCCTGAAAACTAAGTCAACAAGTAATCCACCACAGCGGTTCCCAACTTGTCCCACACCGTTCAACCCTTACAACATGTAAGGACAGACCACGCCCCCTAAGAGTTTCGCCAATACGGAAATTTAAACTACTCGGCAGTAGGAAATAGAAATCTTAAGGCACCTTTTCAACTTATTAGCATTTTGCAAATGCAATCCAGATAAAAAGAGAGGTCTTAATATGAGAACAGTGACTTTTTTTATCCGGAAAGTATTCAAAATTAATGAGAAGCTTGTGATATTTTTCCCTCTAGTTGTGAAAAAAGAACGATTTGCTCCGTTTTCTCGCTTAACCCTGGAGTCGAGTGGTGGATTTGACTTTACCAAGTGTTGCCAGAATAAAAATAAATTCACAACTAATTTGAACTCGGCATCAAACTACGGCGCCTGGACTGTTCGATTAAGTAATTGAAGGCCCACATTGATGGTAATGTTTGAATCAGCCTAAGATTCCAGAGCTGTAGTAATGCCGTCGCTGTTCAACTTCGAGAATTCTACACACAATGCGGAATTCGATCTATTGCTTGTAATCCATTGACTACAAATTGCACACCCGGGAGCAAGGACGAAAGTGAACCTAACTTTCTCTTATATAAATCAGATGAATAACAAGACATTCAGCACAGAAAAGTTATGTGCGCTGAATCGGAGATGATAATAAATTAGCATTACATTCACCAAACGGAACAGAAACGAACTTGACAGTAAGTACGAAAGGATCATAGGCCAACAGAGCGAAAGGTGGAACGAGCGAGAGAAAAACCTGATATGGAAACCATCGGGTATGCGAAAAAAGTGACAAACTACAGCAATATAATTTTTTCAACATGATGAATCGACCGAAAATCCTGATCTGAGTATATAACAGTATACCAAAGTTTTTCACCCAACCGGTTGCTCGTTCACCAAGTTTACCTCTCTCATCAGTTGACTGCTGATTTTGGTTTCCACAAGTCCATGCGACGTAGGGTGATGAGATGACGGTGGAAATGGAACTGTCGTGACTTCCCCGAGAGTTTTAACCGGTGGGTATCCTGGACAAGTATACATGGTTGGGACGGAAAGCCTGTTCGAACTTCACGCACGTGCAACAACTGTAACCGTAACACAGGCACAATGGGAACAAAGGCAAGCTATTGTTACATTCACAGAAAATGAGACATCCTAGTTCCACAATAAGTCGCTGTCTCATCCGTGTGGAATTTTGCTAATAAGTATACTCCTCGCAATGTACAGACGTGCCCTCACAAAAATATCAGGTGCAATAGGCACAGCAATACAGATGGATAGTGAAAAGTGATTTCAGTATCAGATAAATCAGACAAAGAGCCTGTTTTTAGTAACTGGTGTCTTCAAACCTGGGGTCCTCATTTCACGTGTACCATTGAAAGTCTGCCCCGCGGGTGATCCCCTGATTGAGAACTGATGGTGATGACGCATTATCAGGCTTTCAGTAGATATAGAGCGCTTGAAAAAGGACTTTTCAAAACTCCTGAACACACCAATTTCCTTCAGGGTAGGCACAGGAAGCCCTACCACATGCATTGAAAAACGGTCCGTTAATAAAACGCCCCACCTGAAATCCCTGTAATGCTCACCTTCCTTGCTAATATTTGAGTCCTCGTAAAATAGGAGAGGTTTGATTATCAAGACGAAACCAGTATATCTATAGTGTGGACAGCAATTTAACTGAACGTTCTGTAGAAATGCGGCTTTTTCAAGCTTTGTACTTCAGCCAACTTCACCAAAACATATTAAAGCATGGCCTCACCATTCTATAAATAACTGTCAATGGCGACAAAATAACGCACGCGAACACGAGGACTGTTTGAACCGAGAACTATGCAGTTGCATTGTAATCAAGTTACGGCTACTTATCACACCGTCCTCACTCCATTAAAGTTCGCGATTTCGGACATCAGAAGATAAACGCAGACTTTGCTGAGAAGAACTTTGGTCCCGCTATGCATCATACAACTGGAAACTCCATTGGAATTAAACATGTATTTTCCAAATAAAGGAACCTCTAATTTCAAGGTAGCTCGGTTCAGCTGAACCAAATAAGTAACCTCTAGTGTGAGAATGTTTGGTACATTTCAGCAAGCATTCCTGATAATGCAAAAACTAACTTGCGGTCGAAAACCCCGGGGCTTGTTTTACCCAAGAGCCATCGAAAGGTGCAGCCTATGAGAATGTTTCGGTTGGAGACACGGCAGTGCCATAATTTAACTCTCCACTAGCCGCTCTTCTGAGAATTTTCTCATCCATTATCATCACTTGAGGGATTAGAGTTTCACCTTCACGACACTGGCACCTGGTGATCACGTCCATACTTAGAGTGTGTTATCATTGATTGTAGTGGGCCTACACAGAATGACAAGATTTCAGTACTCATGGTTTGCGACAGCTTTCTATGATATGTAAATTATAGTCTATCAGTGAAGCTTCCAGCGTCGTCATGAGCTTTGTCGGATCGTTAACGTCAGTCACGTATTGACTGATCGGCTAACCTCACTCACAACTGTTGTTGACATCTTTTCATAAATTGTAATGGTTCATTGCCTTCCTAAACTGAAAGGGCATGCTCAATATGTGAGGCCTTTTATCATGAAGAAAGATAACGAAGTTTTTCAAGCTGGAAGATGAGACTGACTTGTCTTCCACTACAGCTAAATGAAGAGGTGCGCAAAAAGGAGAGGTACCTGGAAGAACACATCGAGAACCTCAACAAGGTGAGCAGTCAAGTTCATCTACAATCAGTATAGCATAATTTTGTTGTGAAAAGCCTGTGAAGAATGAGTGGGACACATAAGTTCTGGAAATTTCGGCGTTCAGCGTTTTTATCCCATACTAACTACGGTTAACTTCCTATCCAGCTTAGACTTTCTTATGCGCTCTAATGAGCCAAGAAGACCTTCTGGATTTCGGGCGTTGTAAACTCAGAAGACCTCATTTCCACTTTTCCAAGCATCATCAGTAGACTTTGACGCAAAACACAGGTATCCTTGAAGCTAGCTATTTAGATGGATAGGTCAATAAATTGCTCAGCAAAATTTTCGATACGTCAAAATTTCATAGTAATGTATCTGGCGATATTTCTGTATCCACGATTTGTAAATGACACCTACGTGGCCAACTATACGGAGCTTCATGTGTTATCCTCTGATTAATTCGAGGGGACAATTGTTTTGCTTATGTCAACAGTCTGAATCTCCAGTGATTGATAATACCGAGGGGGATGTTCTACTTGTGACGTCAAGGTATCCATGGTTGAATCTGCGAGCATGCGAAGAGTACTTCCGGGGAAATTTTCGACTCAAACATGGTATCGGACATACTCTCAAAGGGCAACATAACATTTTAGAACTTCCGAAAGTACCCGGATGAAGCCGAACAGTAACTATTGTAACTATTCAGAGAACATGATTCGAGGAACATGTAAATAAACGAGAAATTCAGTAAGTATGGTCCCAATTGAATCGGATGGGCTGATGCTTGAATGCAAGAGACCTGTCTTACAGATTCGTACTTCTTATTTCGCATTAAAGGGAAGCGATAAAAGGAGACTTCAACCTGAAGGCTATGCACGGCGGCTACGTGAAATGAATGGGATAAATCTAAAGTTCGTATTACAGAAAACCTGACATCAAGTATACCCGAGTGCTGTCTCCGTTCGAACCCGACTTCTGCATCTCCATTTCTCCTGTCTAGGCTTGGGCAACCTGGCGGTCTCCCAGCCGTCGTGCTTCCTTCGGGCACCGAAAAGGTGTTATATATGTAAGATTTTTTTACTGCTTTTCACAACCGAGAATCATGAGTCACAATGCATCACGGTGTAACTGAGATCTATTTCTTTCAATAGAAAAATGGGCGGATTGGGTTAAAACAAACTTCTGTGTGGTGAGAACTGAAATGCTCTGGCAAATGATATGGATCTTATGGCATTTTGCCCAATATTTCGAGGTCAGCAGATACCGATGAAAGCGTTTTCACGCAATGATGGCTGGGACCAATGTCGGTGTTAAAACAGAGGTTATGCAGAAACCGCCATTTCAACGAAATACTTGTAAAGAGTCCTTGAACGGAGTGTCCGGAAAGAGGAGCTTTCCTCCCAAATTCCATTTAAAAGGAGATCAGTTGAGACTGCCATCCTGAGGTGTGTTGTCAGTATGTGATCGTCAATAGGTCGGTTCAGTTCACTGGAAATCCGTGTTTTATTTTCCAGTATTTCACAAGTTGAAAATGTAAAACCGGACTATTAACACCGACGTATTGATGTTGTGTGCATACTTCAGTTTTTTACCATAATACCTTGGTTTTTACCACAGAAACTTAATAGCTGCAGAACTCGGATAGACGAGCTCCAGTCGGCACTGGATCAAAGTTGTTTGGAAAAGGATGCCATGCAGCAAAAGATGGCAACTGCGCATCAGGAGGAACTGAAAGTCCTAAGACAACGTCATCAACAGGACTTGTGGGTATGTGATGAAGTTTCACTCCGATTTTGTGGATTTCTAGTTCTAGGAATGTACTAAAGCATTTTTCATACAGTCCAATGTGGTATGCCCTTAAGGTGCAGGAAGCGACTCAGTGTCGTTTGGTACATATTACCGAAGAACGCTATTGTGATTTTATCCACACACCTAAAACCTCTTATCTGCCTGAAAACCTCCACAGACAATGGTGAAACAAATGGGAATTTCGTTCCAAAAGCCGAGACAGCGAGTCTTGTGGTGACGTAGTTACACGGATGGTGAACAAATGCAGATGATACAGTATGAAGCAACAATCATGGAGGGATAAGGCAGGGGAATGTCAGTACGAAGGTCAACATATAGATTGAGTTACTAGCCAAAGCATAGTAACCCTGTTGATTCTATTTAATTAGCGTCGCTTTGTCAAAATGCCAACAGTTGCGCTTTTGATTATGCAAGCCGAGAACAAATAACCGATGGAGTCAAATGAACGACCTGGGCAATCAATTTGAAGTGGGTTGTGGAGTTCCGGTCTGATCAGTGAGCACTTTGATGATATCACTTCGGTTGGTGACCAAACGCTTACAAGCTAACTGCCAAGATCGGTGAGCAGATCAGCAGTCGTCTGATCAAGTCTCCCCCTCTATAAAACCAGTGTGTTACTTGCGCTGAAAATCAAAGGCAGATCGGTTGCGTAAGGTCACTCAGACTGGTGAGGACTGAAATACCGATTGCGAAGCTTTCGAACGCAATAATGGAAAAAGAGATTTGACAGCACGTTCGCGTCCGGTCATCGAAAGAGGCCATCTGGAGGGATCATTTAAAAGTACTTCCCCCTAGGAAGGTTTACAAGGTAGAAGTTTTAAGGGGACACTCAGAAGTAATGCACCCTGAAGAGGATGACTGCACAATCCCACGCCTAAAACACGCAGTAACCTGAACACGGTAATCATCAATTGAAAAACTTTACCGTTAAACTGCGTAGAGGAATACTTGAAGATTAGAATGCTTTAATATGTTGTTATTATAAGTCGCAAACTTACAGCATGCAAACCAAACACACTAAAGTAGTGGAAGGATCCTGGATAACATTTATTGGGGAATTTCCGAGAATTAGCTCAGTGATATTGTGGTAACTATATTTTGCCAATGGATTATCGGAAAAGCCAGATATCTATTCACACAGATGGAAACGTCCTAAGAATGTGTCCAGCGAAATCCTGGAAACATGCCATCAAGACGACCCCATGAACTTTTTTGGGATCCTGCTACACAGCATCAACTCTAGAAGTTGTTGCGGTCGTATCAACCCTGTCTGTCACCAAATATCTTCAGCCATGGTAATCGTGGTATTGACTGAGTAACGTAAAGAGGCCAGACAACAATGTCTCAACCCTTTACCGTACATACATGTTTCACGTCCACGACTGGGTACGGGAAGAGAAATGTTAGCACATCACAGTCTGCACTCTGTCCGTTCCAACGAGGTGGACTGAAGGGACTTAGTGTTTCAAACGTTTAGAAGGATCATTCCTGCACTAGGCTGTTTGATCCATTTAGTGTAGTGTACATTTTACCCCTCAGTGAATCAGGCTCAACTTATGGAGCTAGATACAGTGGGAAGATGCAGGGGAACAAAATTTATTTGTCCAACTTCCTATGAAACGAAAGTGTGATGGTCCGTGGTTCGCCCTGTGCTGACACCCCAATAATCCAATACTCCACTCAACAGTTTCAGTTTCATCGCAAACAGGCTTGTACGTAGACTTACTATCCCACGATATTTGATTTGTACTAAGCTCACTTGCGATGTAAAAAAACTCAGTCCATATTAAATTGGTATATTTAGACGCTCAGAGAAAAGATTGCCAGTGAAAGGAAGCGTGCACGAACAGCAGAGTTCAAACTTCGTGAACGGGATAAAATTTGGGCGGACTTAAACAAGCTCCGGGAAAACCAGATCGATCATTATCTTCCAATCGAAGTTCAGCTTCATTTGGAATCTACGATTGAGTCACTTCGTGCACAGGTAAGGTGTGGACAAAATGTAAGCAGCACTTTGCAGCGAGGTCTATCCGACGTAAAAAATTGATCTTGGGGTTTTAAAGTTGAATGTGATTAACTGAAGTAATTATAAAACATATTGTTGTCTGTCTGTACTTTCAACGTACAAGTAGTCCGTATCTATAGTGGCTTAACCGGTAAAAAATGATAGCTTCAGAGGGATATTCACCATATAAGGAGCAGCCTGGTAGTGAAAATTCCTTATTCGATAACAGCTATGTTCACCTTTGAATTTTCGAGAAAAAACCGTAATTCACCACTGTTGCCACAAATGCCCCAGTACGATCGGATGTGGATGCTACAGGTAATGTGCTCGGGCTGAGCACCCGATAATCTCGAAGTGCCCCCGTAAGACTGCACCTCGCAGTGGGAGAAGGGGCGTAAATTCAAGCTTTCACCTTTGATGCATCGTCATTCTTGTCCCACCGTTATTGGGTGCTTCAGTATCAATGAATTCTTTATACAATCGCCTCTAGTTCGTGACTTTCGTGCCGCCATTCACACTATTCCAGGTGGACTAAACAGCAGCAAGTGGAATTAAAGTACCTTGGCACATGGTTCACAGCTGACAAACTGAACTGCTACTCAGTGGCCTATGCGAGGAAGCCCCACTGACTACCCTCTTGTGACTGATTTTCCTGAAGTAAAGAGCACAAACCACTGCCTTGTGCTTAAGCCAAGTTAATGGACCAGTTGATTTCACTAGAAGAATTGTCTAAATGCACGTCGTAAGCCATTGACGAACAGCGCGCGAAGCACTCTCGATTCGTGATTCCGGCCGTTCATCGGTATACTTATGAGGCATCTCAGATAAGCGGCCTCCTCCCGAAGGTTGAGTAAACTGAAGTTAGTTACTGGCTGCACTGAATTACAAACCGTGCTTCGTCCGGCTGCATTGCTGAGGAACGACAAAGTAAAGTTTAGTTTTCGATTTAGGTAACTGGGAAGTATCTGCACAAATGCACGAACTTACAACGACTAATGACTCCATGGATCTTTCGAACATATTTACGGGGATGCAGACGGTCGGAATACAATCCGACTCCCCGTTTATCCGTTAAACGAAATCCCACATCCATTTAGGTCTCTTCTCTGGAAAAATTTGTGGTGGATACCAAATGAACCACTGTTTACACGCCACTGCCAAAAAGGCGTCTATTCGACCGAAAAAGTTTCCCAAGCTCATGTTACCGACACCATAAACGCACCCTGTCCTACATTCACGCTTGACTTTCAAATTAGCTACTTAAGATCTCTGCGACACAAAAACAAGGGATGTCGAAAGTGCAATCGCTGTACATCCTATTCGCGAACTTCAGAGTAGCGAACAATTAAACATTGTGGCTCGTCATCGAGAAGAGATGCCCAAGATAACTTGTCGAAACTTTTTACAATAGGATGAAGGATGCCGTTCGAGCTTGTGGAACTAAGTCTGCAGACATCAACGTTGACAAGGCGGAGATAGCTTGAGATAACTGAGTGACCAAGGCGAAAGCTTACGGACCGGAAGGCCCGTGGTTCGAACCCAACTTCAGCATCCCGACTACTCCCGTTTAGACTTGGCAGTGTCCCAGCCCTCCTACTTCCCTCCGTTGGCATGGCAGCTAGGCACCGAAATGGTCCTACAGATGATGACTGCACTCGTCAGCTCGTCCTGAAGTGGAACTGCAGCATATGCCAGAAATTCGCATGTGCAACATCCAGTTTTGGACTAATTGCACATTCATAAAAACGCCTACTTCCCGTCAGCCTGTTCCTGAGGGGTGACATAATTTACCAAACAAAAGGGCAGTCGAATAGCGTGCTGGTCCGATTACTTCTACTTCAGCAGAGGTCCGAAATCTGACAAAATGTCCGACAAAGAGCTGAACGCATTGTTGTGTCCTCAATTGGATGCCTTCGTCTTTATTCATGCTGTGTTTCAAACCTGGTCCTCTACGTGAAGGCTGAATCTCTTCGGAGAAAATCACCTGCACGAGAAAACGATCATCGAAGGTCGATGTGTATAGTACTTTCCAGTCAGGATACAATTGAACTATGACCCTAACGACCTCCTGCGTCTGCCATAAATTGGACAGGCAAGGAGGCCGGAAATTAAGTCTGCGTTACCATCGTTCGAGTGCATATGCACCAGCCAAAGAAACTGATATCAAAATTTGCCTTTCAACCCTTAAAATCATGACAAACGAAGGTCACATCAAACAAACAATATTATCACTTCGCACGATAACATGCTATCGTTACTGGTCACTGAGTTTGCTTTGATCATATAAAAGTTCAGTACACAACGAAGGTGTTCCACTTCTGTTTTCTGCAGGTTGGCCTTCTTCAGAAACGCATTGCATTACTTACCGGAAGAGGAAACGAGTACGGACAAGTGGACGGATCGATTTCTGCTGTACAGAATCGGAGACCAGAAATAAAATCGGAAATCCCCAATGCACCACAACCCATGTCCCGTTTACATTCGCCAAAAACGAATAGTGGTGACCATTTGGTTGACTGGAATGAGTTACAAGTCGACCTCACTCCGTCAAAAGGCCAGTACTCATGCGATTTACGGAGATCTACAGAAGTTGCGGAAGGTAAACCTGTGGCAACCAACCGATCGCGGGGAATAGCGATATAGACCTGCCCCCGGAAAAATCCTAGTTGCACATAATTGGGATGAAGAACCAATGCTCAAACGGGATATATCACGAATGTTTGATTCAGACTTCTATTCGATTCGTATATACACTTGAATTCTACTGTACAAGTTGGTCGGAAAAATAAAAACAAAGAGGAGCTGGAGATGTACGCATCATTACCATGTGAATGGGTTCAATGCTCAAAATGTAACATCAGGAAATGAAAGGGGAAGGTAGTTCATATTTTCTTTTTCTTAGATTTTTTGACAGCACCTGATACTGCCAGAAGGGCTGGTGCCAATCGCGGTGACTGGTGCATTACAGGGGGGAAGTCTATTGATTTAACTGGCTGCTTGTCAGAAAGTGCAGAATTAGGGCGAGACCGAAATGGGTCAAGCTGCTTGGAGAGTGGATCCTTGGTAGGCTCTCGCTTTCGTTTCTTCGAATGTACCAGTTGACGACGACTGAGGGGTTTCGGATTTTGGAACGATGTCAATGAGGATGGAATATTAGAAGAAACTGATGGGTTTTCAGAAGTAACCAGCTGGACGAAGGTCTCTTCCGGTATTGGATCTTTCGACAATGAAATGATAATAGCAGATTCCTCCTGTTGAGAAAATAACAGCGGAAGTTGAATAGAGTTGCTAAAATGACACTTTAATTCTTGATATCAGTCAGCGTCAAAGATCAGTGATCAAAACAAAACATTTCAGAAGCTGTTATGCGCCATACTCCCAAGCAACATGACTTGAACACAGTATGGAAAATAATGGGTTTTTAACCAGTGAGAATGTACTGGAGGCGAATACATGGATATATGGTGCAAGAATGGTACGCAAAATTGCAAAGTATGACAATGATGACGCTAAATACTAGTGTCGATGTCTCATACAAACTGGATGGCGCATTTGAACTGGCCTCAAGGGTAGGGCTCACAAACACGCGCCAATCTGAGTAACTACTACACACGACAGAAAAACTGATGACCAAAACGAAAGATTGTCGGTGAAATGACTTTGAATGCCATATAGGACAGTTGACGTCCAGAAACGAAGGCCAGGACCAGTGACACATCTACTTGCAGGCGGGTACGGCTAGCAGGGGTAGCTAATCGGTCAAGCATTCGTGGATTCACGACAGTAAATGGAGCGATCTGTGGTGGGACACATTTCAGTCTAACCCCCACCTAGTGTACAAAATGGCGAATCACGGACCGGTATCCGTAGTCTATACCAAGTAATTGTGCGACAAGATGAAATGAGGAATCCTCGGGCATTTGGTAGATATTTCAGAGAGGTAGCTCGTGTTGGCCGTCATAAGTTAATCAGAAAAATTTGGAAAAAAGTGTTTAAATACGTGGCGGGGAGTTGGATCGTTGGTTATGTGTAGTGCAACGACTACCAATGATAATGTTTTCGTGCCCAACTCAGCGGAGCAAGCAGATGGGCTTTGAAGAAGTTTAAATACATCTGAGCACTGTTAGTAGGAATGGTATCCTGGGATGAAGTTCATGTGGCTTGAGATATGGCTGCGAATCGATATCAGTGTGGTACAAATTATCAGCTCTCGTCCTGATCACCTAGAACCGTCAGAAGTACGACCGAATGACTCTGCTCCAATTCATTCCTTGTTTCTAATTCTCATAAGGATTACTTAAAATAAGTTATTGTTGCACGACAAAAAGCAGTCAGTTTTTAACAGAACAGAGTGGTAATTCACCAACCGAACAAGAATCTCTTTGAAAAACCACTTTTAGGAGTACCCAGCTCCTTTGGGTGGCATCATAACGGATAGTGGTGCCCTGAACCTGTTGCTTAGTTCAGTCCATGTGATAATTCTGCTGGAAAATTTTTGGTATTAGGGGCAGTTAAGTTAACGCTGTATTTACAGTCGTCATGAAGGAACTGGAAAGGACAGATGCAGGGCTACTTGGATTTGAAGATGTCAATTATGAACATTACGCATAGATAGGATAGTGGCCCTGTGCAAGCAGAAGCACGAGCTTCTAGGTAGCTAGCATCCAAGTTAGTAGGGATAGGTAAACTGATGAGATCAGTGTTGATGCATCAAACACGACATGACAGGTTAACCTTGGATGGTTCCAGCGTCAGAAGTGACAGGAGGGCGAGTCTGATAAGGCAACCATACACTTTAATCCGGCAGAATTCACCCCCAGTAAAAATATTTGCGGCGAAATTGTAGGAACGGTGTACACTGCTGACTGTGAGCAATACAAGACGGCTATTCTGAAATAGTAAACCCTGTGGCCCAATCCTTGGTAATGTGAAAAAGTATATCCGGATATAATATTTGTCTACAAGGTATAAAAGTCAGTAGACTTTACTCGGGCTGCTTGTTCCCGGTGATCGACCGGGGGGATCTATAAGGATTTCATACACACCTGGTATACAGCAAGGTATAGTAGCAGCTAAACAGACAGTCGACCAGGATTTGAAGGGTGCCTTGAAGAACTGAGACATTTAAGAAAAAAGTCAAGGATTCTGTGCACTATATATTCTTCGAATAAACCTCTGCAGCTCTATCGCACAGTGAATCTGTTCGGGGGCCAGTCGTCCCTAATAACCGAACAGCACATCATTTAGACGGATGTGTCACGTGCAGGACACGGGCCAAACGAAGGCATGCCCTGATTGGTCAGAATGCCAGCCGATCCGAGTCAAGCACCTGTGACTCGACGCTTCTCGCCCCCTCACGGAGATTCTGGCACGACCTTGTGGAACACTCTGTGACTACCATATAAATACAGCTGTAATAATTTTCCCTTGTCTCCAGAAAGGGCTGTGTAGAACTACCGTGCATCAGTCTATAAACAAGCCGCTCACAGTCTCATTTCCGACATGATAAGAAATCATACTTTCCCGCTCTAGAGAGATTTGCTGTTCCGATTTGCGAATCGGAACTATCCATCAAATCCCAGGGATGAATTTAATTCACAAGAATATCCACTTCCCTGGAATGACCTGTTCCTCACCCTCCTGAAGGAGATGATGACGGAATGACAGAAGCTGACACACCTACATGATAAACAACCGAACGAACAGGCGGAAGCGCCCATCTATTAGAATTTGGGATATTAGACAAACATTGCAAAATTAGAAAACGCCTTACCAGCACATAAGTCACCATCGTATCTCGATCCACACAGTTTCGCTTTACGGTGCTGATTTTTGTTAGCTGATACAACTGAGTAATCGGCTCATCTTTAAGAACATTGAAAAATGGAGGTGAATCTGGGGTCTGCTTGGAAGAACTAAGGACGATTTGTTTGAAACGCTCCGCGCATGCGACAGTTTTTGCGACACCCCCCGCCGTGCTCTTCCAAATAACCTAAAAGGCAAGGACGAACGAATGAATGACATTAGGTGGTGCTTGGCGAAGAAACGCATAAATTCACTCTGAGATAAAGAACGGGTGAGGGGTACTGATTTTCTATGTGGCAACTCTATGTGTTAACCTCTTAATCCCGGAAAAAACATCAGAAATTTACTGGAAGCCGTAGCTCAAGACGGAAGTTGCGCCTAGTAATGACCTGTTAACTGAAGAGACTTAATTAGATGGCATGTGGCTACTAGACCTCAGCCCAACACACGGTACCATAAAACACAAATCGCCTGGGCAGGGTCACTGTTAGTCAAATGTTCTAACACTATGCCCACGTCCTTCATCTGACATGGTTACGCCACTTCTAGTTAGATTCGGACAACGAACGATGCCCTTGAAATTTGCTAGTATATTTAGTGCCCTTTGTTCTTCTTCTTGTCGCATTGCAGTCCACTGATTCTACCACAACCAGTGGGTTCGCCGGGGTTGTTGTCTATCATTCCTTTCCTGTTTGTCACTGAAATAGTCATTCAATGTGCGTTCAAAAGGATAGGATATCTAGTAGCCTGAAATGGCGTTCGAAGAAGGGTTGCTACACTTGGATTATGTGGACATTTTCATCCTTTCCAACAATCACAAGTCTGCTTGATCCACTCTAAATACAATGAAGAGGAAAAAGTGGTTCACTGTTTTAGTATGCGTTTTGCACTTCCGACGCGCGTTTGCCTATGTGGTATTTACTTTTCGTGTGCAGCGTGTACACAGTGAACTTACCTATGCTACTACTTAGTAAAAAAGTAGTCACTGAAGCTGCAAGTAAAATCCATCAGGTCAAGCTGGTTAGGACATACACTAAACAGACGCAACCACTTTGTACCGAGGAAGGTACTTTTTATCCATAAGCCACGCTGAAAAAGCGATGACATAAAATGAGTAAAATGAAACCGGCTGCAATCAAGTTGGGCGATGGATCATCGAAACTTTTTGGTGAACGTTCAAGTGATTTTCGCTTTGCGTGGCTAGCAATCACGCAAAACATTCTACTTGACCTACAGTAGCGGTGTTCATACTGTCACATTCTTCATGGACTGAACAGCAACACATCACCTATCGCTGTAGACTGAGTCGATGTTAGATGGGTATCACAAAGGACTCTGGACAACACTAAATGACCAGTAATCACTCCGAAATGGTGCACAGATGTCATAATCTGCTAACAATTCTTGATTATTTTTCTAGTTATACAGCTCATAAAGACTCATAAGTCCCCATCTATCAGATCATCAGAATTGTACGTAATTGTTCATGTGCAATTAGTTTGCAGGCCTTATGGTGTAATAGGACATAAGATGAGTAAATTATCTGTTGTTGACATACTACGATAGTCTTGAGGTGCCTACATCTCACTCATTTATATCAATAACCTGGGAGCAACCACCTCTTTCAGAATCCAGCCAAACACGGGGATCGCGTGAACTTCGTCTTGGAAGCCGATCCCACCGATAGTACCCAGACTTTTCCCATTCAACTTCACACCTGTCTGTCATGCCAAAAGTTGACCACCTGTCTGCTTACGTCACTCTGAATTGGGCATGCAAAGCAGCACTTTTCCACAAACGATGATTTGGCATGCGCAACACATGACAAAACCGCAGCAGCTTTTGGTGCAGGACACACTCATCAACTAAAGTCTGCTGCACAAACAAAAATCGTTTTCTAACTGTCCCCTCAAGGATTCGCCAAAATCACTCTACATGAACTATGGTTCTGAGACAACGGCTGGCGAAGAACAGAAGACGTCTCAATTCCGCTGCTCGCAGAGGGTACGCGTCAGTCATTTAACAAAAACCCTGTAGTGTAGCCTGGTGCACGTGTGTCTGGAGACTGAAGGATGCGTCACTTTGTCAAAAGTCAACAAACGCTATCCAAGCCTTAAAGATTCCTGCATTAACCTCATCTGTCACATTAGACCATTAGAGACAGCAACATCAATGTTGACACTGACGCCTCATTGCTGTATAACCACAGAGTTTATTTAGTTAAATTAAAAGCCATAAAATGATAACAGTGAGTAAGGGAGAGACCTGGTGCTGATCTAACAAAAGCATTCTGGAGTGCCTACACCTCCAAGCGCTCAATCGGACAATGTGGAAAGAAACTGAAGGCATGAACGCCATTTTCATCGATCAGCCGCCAAAACCAACTAAACTCTCCATGTTCTTTTTCAGACTTTCCTGACAAGTCATACATTGTCCACCTCGCGGTTCGTACCATTCTAAAGGAGGCAAGGGGAACAGTCGTCTCGATAGGAAATGTTTCCGCATGCGCAGCACACGATCGAGTCATCGTAGTTGGGGGCGCTGGATTTTTTCACCGACTGAAGTACCTGCTGCTCAACAAACCAACAATTACCTTGTTAGGCATTCGTGCACACCATCCGACATCAGCTACGCTTCTGACATATCACCTAATTATTCCGTACCGATAAGGTTTTCGTCAGCACCAATGCTTCGAATACCCTCCAGCGTCTGTCTAATTATCTAGTCGATAACGAGGCTGAATGGAGAAAGTGGGCATTCTTGACGGACACCACTTTTTGTACGGAGGCTTTTGGAGGGGTTCCAATATATTCCCACAGGACGGGAAGTTTGAGAATACGAAGCATTCTTTGCTGACTAAAAATTAGTAAGTAGAACGGAGAGGCCAGTTAGAAGCACACCACTGTTCAATGCCGACACTTCATTGCCGTACAGCTATAAATTATTTAAGTTCTATTGTAGAGAACTCGTTTGGCGGTTTTTAGCTCCACGTGCGTTACAACCAGGCTGGGGCCATTCAACAGAACAAATGTAATGCGGAACGAAGATCTGCAGTGACTCACTTTCCTGCAGCAAGGACGTTTGAAAGAATTCACAGCAAAAGGGATTAAATTGGACAGCTTGCTCCCCGCATTCACATTCATTCTCAAATCCGCGGCGTCCGTATTTCGACTCCTGTCAAGCGTATGACCCTCGTTCTGTATCATCTGATAAAATCTGCGAGGGAAAGGTTTCAGGGGGGTACTGACGGCAGGCACTAGTGACCAGTTGGCGCGTATTCCAAGTTCGAATCACTCGTTGTGTATAGGATCTAAACAGGAAAAAGTAACGAAGGGTCGCTTTGAGGTTATTTATAAAGATTTGCTCTCAATATTAGGCAATTTAATTTTCCCAGGAGACCCCAGTGAATCTAATCTGAACCAAAATTGCCAAACGAATGGGTTGCACAACGCCACCTTGGGATATCGCACTATAATTTATTGAACGGACACTGGCCGTGGTCTGCCGGAGAGATCTCAGCAACCTTATGGGCAGTGTTCCATTGATAGACATGTATAGGTAGCGCCATTCCGGTGCCTAACCTCCATGCCACCCGGCGGTTGAACGAGGGCCGGGATACTGCCAGGTGGATGAAGCTTAGACACGAGAAGTCTAGATGAACAGGTTAGGTTCGAACTACGGACCTCCGGGCCAAAAATTTGCCCTCTAACCACTGAAACACCTCGTGCCTTCAACAGAAAGGTTGAAAGTAAATAGGGAGCCGCCTTCAGTCTCAGAAGTGTCCGAATGTATTTCTCTACTCAAGCGTCATCGTGCTGCTGGTCCTGACGACCTGCTCTTTTCAAGGATGGTGATGGATTCCTCAGTCACTGCCTGTCTAGCCTATTTGGGTCTATCTGGGAGAAGGAGACCATCCTAGACAACTGGGGTGGATTCGATAGTGGGCCCATTTTCAAAAAGAGCACTCACAGTGAATGCAGCAACCACAGAGGTGTTAGTTTGACGCCTGTTGTGAGAATCAAGCGGGATTACGACCGTTGACCACATCTCCGTCAGGTGTTAGAGCAACGCCACATGTACGGACGACCCACAATCCTGGTATTCCTTAACTTCAGGAGTGCGTTTGATTCTGTCGATCAATCAGTGCTGTTAACTACACTTGTTCAACAGTGTATGCCCCAGAAGTTTGTAAACATAATCCGATCTCTATATTCACATACTTCTGGGCGGGTGAGAGTGTATGGTGAGCTCTCCAAAAGCTTACCTACAAAAAGTGGTGTCGGACAAGGATGTCCACTCTCTCCATTCTTGTTCAACTTCGTAATTGATGAAATAATGAGGTGAACACTGAACTGTCTTCGAAACCTCGGTGTTCAAATTGTTGCTGGCGAGAGCCTTGTCGATCTGGAGTACGCAGATGATATCGCCCTCAACTTTGAAAACCATAGCGAAGCACAAGTCCTGTTGAATAGAGTGACCACCATCATACCATCATTTGGCATGCGCCTTCAAAGTGCAAAGTGCTGCTTCAGAACGAGCCATCTGCGATCATATCCCTTACAATTCAAGGAGAACCACTGGAGATTGTGGAAAACTTTACGTACCTCGGTAGTTGTATTAGCTCTGACGGAAGTGTGTCTGATGAGGTCAGTGCAAGAATCTCAATGGCTCGAATCACGTTTGCTAATTTGCGTCACTTCTGGCGTCAGGTTTTCGACCACCGATGCCTCAGAAGCGTGGCTGGTTTCGGATGGCGTCAGCGTGTCAGTAACGAGGCGGTTAGAAAACAGGTATTTGGTTGTGCTGCAGGCACCTCAATCCGGGAAAACATCCAGCATCATCGACTACGATGGCTCGGTCATGTTCTACGCATGCCGAAACACCGTCTA